GGAGATGGATGCTGGGAATTGTAGTTCAAATGCTGAGAAGGCAGCTACAGACCATGTCTATGGAGATTCTCAATGATCCGGGTCATGGTTGTCTCAAAAATGCTTTTTCAAAAGCAACCGCCCTATGTTTTTCTTTTTCCCTTGAGGAAGAAGGAGACATTTTGCTTCTCATCCAAGAAGCTTCATTAGTTCTGGCTGGATGGGTGGGGGGAATGGAAGGGCTAGTTCTCAGACAGATTAGTTCTGAGAATCCTTCCATTCCCCCTCTCGCCCACCATCCACTCAGAACTGATGAAGCTTCTTGGATGAGAAGTGAAATGTCTTCCTCAAGGGAAAAAACGTAGTCCAGTTGCCTTTTGAAAAAGCACGTTTGAGCTACAGACCATGTAAAATATGTTCAGGAGATGAAAGAGGGCAATAAGCAAGGGGAAAGAGTCCATGAGCAAAGAAGGAGGAAGGTTCCAACCTCAGCTTTTTCCCTGATTAAGGTTCCAACCTCAATTTTCCCTGATTAATGTTGCTGATTTACCATTGAATGATGTAAATTAACCAAAGCTTTTCCTCTTCTTTCGTAAGTTAGTTGGGTAGAGCCTGGTCACAGCCATCATTATTAGAGCATTTATGAAACTTCTTGGGGTGAAATCAGCAGGTTCTTGGACTTCTCCAAGGTGAGAAAGAGACAGCTACTAGAAAGCAAAAAAAAAAAAGTTATTTATTCAAGAAATAACACCCAAATAATTGCCTTAAGTCCTTATTATCTGGATATTTGTATGACCTTCATGTCAAGAGCTACTTTTGATTATGAAAAAAAAAATCTGTATAAATGATTTTGAATGCTTGGGCTATTTATGACTACTGACTTGTTTTTCGAGTAGGAATTACTATTATGCAGGAAATAATGTCAGAGTCAGACAGTTTGACAATTTGGTGGCAGTAAACATTCTAGGTAGCTTGATACATTTTTATAGGTCGATATAAAAGATTCCACAAATGACTATAATAGACAAACATGGTTGGCAAAAGAATTATCTTGTGTCTGTGCTGTGGTTGATGCGATAACGTTTCTGGAAAGTCTGACCTGACTCAATTTAGAATAACAACCCATATTTATTTAAGAATTTATCCAATCTTAGAATCTAAGTAAGCTCTCTTACACAAAATTGGTTCTCAGCACTGGAGAGGCACAAAATGCATCTATCTGATCTACCCCCAAACCACTCGCTTTATCCTGACATACCTGAAAAATCTGGAAGTTAATGATTGAAATTGAATGAAATGAAGTCACTCGTTATCCTTTTGCTCCTTCTGTTTCTGAAATCTGGACACCGGAGTGTTTTTCTCTCCTGTACCATATGTGCACCCAAACTATAGCAGCCAGCATAGTTAGAAAGATGGGTATTTTCAAGATGAGCAGGATTTGAGAATCAAGGCTTCTGGGTTGGTTTCTAAACAGAGAAATGTCCCACCATTTTATTTTGAATTGATCCTTATTATGACAAGTAAAATGAGTATAAATAAGCCACTCATTTATTTCACTTTTAATTTATATTGATCTTTCAGTACAAATGAGGTCCCATATTTGCTCTACCATTATCGACCATTATTTTGCTGTGTTTATTTTTCATCCAGGAGTAGAATTATTCTCCTGTATCCAAAATATTATTTTTTGTTTACATGTCACTTGCATCTGCATTCAGACTATGTAAAGAACCATCATCCTTTATGTAGATCTGCTTATAGTTTATGATCATTATTAGAAATTATGCTACATGTCTCACCATCTAATTCATATCATCTAAGTGGTTGTGGAAGTAGCTCTAAAGAGGAGCTAATGATCATGGTGCAGACAGGTTGAATGACTCTAGAAGTCAGATTTTGTTTAGTAGGTAAGATACCGAAAAACAATCCTGCCTCCAGATCAGGAAGAATCTTTCTTAGAGGATGAAGATAAAAAGATGAAAGGGGAATAAAGTAATTTTAGTCAATGGATCTAATCCATCAACTTGTACAAGTGGACATAAGTTGCATCTGGTCAGAACAGCTGTGAGCTGAACAAATAGGACATTGGGATCAGCCCTTTGCAAAGTCAGATCATCTACTTTTCCACATATGACATGTTTGCATCTTTGGTCTCTGTGAGGATGGAGGTTCAATCTCAGCTGCCTTATAGATCCAGTTGATTTTGGGCAGGGGTTTGAGGATTATTTTAGAGATTTGGTAAGCAGTTAAGTTCTGGAAATCTGAGTTAGTGGACGGGAATGCTCCTGTCTATCTTTGTGTGTCAATGCTGGAAGACAGCTTTATCTAAAAACCCACCCCATTGGTTTGGGGTGAGGCATCATTGATATGTGGCTGATACCCAGTTATAGATCTATAGCCCAAGCCACATTGGAGGTGCTCTTGAGGTCTTCTGGTAGTGATTGAAGGTTGTGAGGAACTGACTGGAATAAAACAGAATCTGGGTAATATGGAATTAGTCCAGAAATCAGTGGGCTCCTTGTAAGTGCCTAAGCTGGCTCTGGATAAAGATGCACTCTCCTTGAAAGAGCAGGCTTGTGGACAACTTGGTGGTTCCCTGGAGTCATGGCTCCTGTTTAATGACCAGATTGATGTTATGGCCATGGTTTGCCCAGACAAATGGCTGTCCAGTCTCTTCTTAAAACCTTCCAGTGTTGGAGCATTCATTTGAGCTACAGTCCTACTTGTGGTTCTTTCTTGAGCAGAGGCCTTAGTGGTGTCCTCATCACCCTGAGGTTGGACTACTGCATTCTCTTTGGAGCTGCTTATGAAAGCTATGCAAAAGCTTCAGCTGGTAGAAAATGCAGCTGCTCTTATTTTGACATTTGAGAGCTGCTTCTGCAGGGTGTACTTTTTCTGTGGGGACTGCACTGTCTGCAAATAGGTTTCCAAATATTATTCAAAGTGCTGGTGTTGACTTAGGAAGTTCACATCTTTTAATTCTTAGTTACTTACATTATCCTCTTCTTCAAACAGAAATATATCCTGTGTGTTCAGCTATGAAGGAGATGCTTCACATCCATCCACAAGGGGTGGAGGGAGAACCCAGAGTTAGGCTGTCGTAGTGGCTGATATAAAATAGCTTGCCACCAGATGGTCCCTACTCTATTAATTTTTAGGAATATGGCAAAAAGGCTTATTCTACTGGGTGTTTAGAACCTATGTGGCTATTTGGTTGGTGGTGATTTTTAATTTTATTTTTAATTTCAGTGTTTATTTTTGAGTTTGATTACAATGTTATAAAGTAGCATTTTGGAGTTTTATGGGGATGAATGGTGCTACTTTATTTGTATTTATGGACTGTGAACTGCACTGAGTATTGTGATTATATCTATTCTAACTACAGTATCTCTCTCTGTCTCTATCTATCTATCTATCTATCTATCTATCTATCTATCTATCTATCTATCTATCTATCTATCTATCTATCTATCTATCTATCTATCTATCTATCTAATCTATGCATATTCTAAAAATAAATAATAAATAATATGAAGTGAATGCAAAATTCCACAAAAGAAAAGGTGCCTAACAGAGAAAAATCAAGATGGGAGACTCTATACAAGTTTTAATTTGTAAATGTCAGAAACCTTTGGGCCAAAATGGAGAAGTAATGGAGCATGAAGCTAGGAACCTCCCCCCCCAGAAAGCATTACAAACATCTACTACAACAGAGATAATTAAAATTATAGAATAATTTTGGGACATAAATATTATAGAAGAGCATCTTTGGGAGAGGGTAGATTTGTCTGATAGATCAAAGAAGATGTAAAACCCCTATACAAATGGAGCAAACTCCTCCACAGAATTACCATGGGCTGTTCATAGCAGTTCTCAGATGACATTTTTGGGCTTAGTCTGTCTACTCCTTCAGCACCAACAAGGAAGTCAGGCTAATCTTCAGATAGAAAGTGAAATCAGAGGTATATCTAAAAAACAACTAATGATAAAATGGTGGACAGTTTCCATTACCTTCAAGTAGGTAGGAAAATGGATGGAGTTTATAGTTATGTCCCACCATCTAGACATACAATGTTTTTGGTTAATATAAGCAGGGCTTTTTTTCTCATAGAACGCCCAGAATGGAGTTCCGGCACCTTTTTTGGATGGAACCTTGTAGGTTAGGCAAGGCGGGTTGTATGACGTGTGTGAGTTCCGGCACCTTTTTTTTTCTAGAAAAAAAGCACTGAATATAAGCATCCTTTTAGCAGAACATACTACCTATGGAATTCTTGCCAGAAAGTGGCTTTTTCCTAATGTAACTTAGGCATGTGTTCTGTGCTGAATGCTCTAGAACAGAGGTGCCAAACTGCTGGCCTACGGGCCAGATGCATCATGGGAAGCTGCGCCCACCCCAGCTCCGGCAAGGGGAAAAAAGTCACACTACGTCACGACATGGTATGTGACACGGCGAGTTTGACACCCCTGCTCTAGAACATAGAACAATAGGGTTGGAAAGAACCTTGGAAGTCTTCTAGTCTAACCCCTTGCTCAAGCAGGAGACCCTATACCATTCCAGACAAACATTTTTAGTGATCCCTAATTTTAATAGAGTTCTTATATTTTCTGCTCTATTTCAGTGTTTCTTGGTTTTATGAAATATTTTAATTGACATGTTTTCTGGTATATTTTCTTGTGCATCAGCTGCTGGGCACCACAACTGGTGAGTGAAATTTAAAGATTCAGCAAAGCAATAAACAAATGCATGAAATATCATATTTTGGTAGAGTGGGAGGAACAAAGAAGATGTGCTAATTGTGGTCTCTGACATGCAGCTAGAGGAAAATTAATGAGTGCCTTTCATATGTTCTTAAATTTCCACATCTTTGCTTTTGGTTATGATGGCCAGATTGTCCAGAGATAATCAGGTTGCTGCTAAGCTACAGTATAGTTTGGCATTATGTTTTACTTAAGAAGTATCTACTGATAGACTGTCTGGAATTTTCCTTAGAATATCAAATATAAGCAAGTAATTAGAATACCTTTCAGGAGATAATGGAGATTCACTTGGCTCTACTGTTTTATATTCTTTATTTCTAGATGTAGGTATGGAAACATCATCTGTAAACAATAACATATTTTGTCAAATACTAATGCAGGAGATAAAAATGAAAGCGTTCGCATTTCCTGATTTATGTAGTTATTAAAAAGAGGTACCAAATTGAACTTGGGTTGTTTCAAATATTATGATGATAATAAAGACTGCTGTGTGCAATGTGCAGTTTAAGAAATATAGCACACAGTGATCCATGATGTGCTCTCTGTCTATGGCCAAATCTACAATAGGAAAGTCACATGTATTGTATTGTGCATCTAGGCTTTGAAAATACCTAGCCAATGGTCTACTATTTTAAAATATTTATGTATATTATATTATACATTACTATTCATTTACAAATGTCCCATTTGAAAGAGCAAAAATCACAGTAAAACAATTCTCTCCACAAAATCGTTAGAACGAAACTTTACTTCTTGTTGTTATAAAAGCAAGTTGGGAAGCAAGTCATCCTGAAGAAGTACAGTAGGTAGAGACAGCAACTAATAGGACCTAGGCAGTCTTTCATTTTATCTAAAGGGTACCTTTGAAGGATAGTTGTGTTGGGATATAAATTCTAGCCAAATTGTTTTTCAAGAAGACTGCACATGCTTTAATTATACAGATGGACAACGGGCTATGCCCCTAAATGCAGCTTCCAGAAGTAGTAGCATCCGGGATGTTGTGAGATGCTGTTTAGACATCTTTACATTATTTCTAAAAACTTAAGGAGGCTATAAGAGTGTTGTCTTTTAAAACGGAAACTGTAATCTAAGCAAAACCAATAATGAATAACTACAGGTAGCCCTTGACCTACGACTGCAATTGAGCCCAAAATTTCGGTTGCTGAGCAAGACATTTATTAAGTGAGTTTTGCTCCATTTTACGACCTTTCTTGGCACAGTCGTTAAATGCATCATTACAGTTGTTAAGCTAGTAACATGGTTGTTAAGTGGAACTGGCTTCCCACATTGACTTTGCTTGTCAGAAGGTTGCAAAAAGTGATCACATGATCCTGGGACACCGCAACCCACATAAATACATGCCAGTTGAAGTTTGATCCCCTGGCCATGGGGATGCTGCAGTGGTCGTAAGTTTGAAAAACGGTCATAAGTCACTTTTTTCAGTGCCGTTGTCACTTGGAATGGTCACTAAACAAATGACTGTAAGTCGAGGACTACCTGTACACAGTTCTGATGTTAGATAGAAACAACAGTGTGTCATCTTCCTATGGTTGCCTGATGACTCTCTTCCTAAAATAATAACTACAGCAAAAGGATACCTGTGGTAACGATTAGTTCCACCGGCTGCCAGATGTCATATTTTCTCTCCACACCACACAGGTAAGCCCCAGCATCGTTGTGAGTGAGGTTCTCCATGACCACACTGAATTCACGAAGTACACGGTTGTCTTTGATGGACATTCCATTCTGCTTCACCTCTTCCTCCGATCCTGTGGTTCGGATGGTGTGGTTACGAGAACAGAACCTAAATCTTTCTTCTTTGCACCAGTACTTGACAGCTTCTTCATCACCTCTTCTGTATTTGCAGCGGATAGTCGCTGAGCCACCATGGGGTGAAATCACTAATTTAGGATGCTCCAGCATCCAGCAAACTGAAAAAACAGTTACACCCAATTTTACTAAACATAAAAATAACACCAACCCCAATGCATCCAGAGTTCCACTTAAGTCTCTGTAGCCTGCATGAAATTAATTGGATTAAGAGGAAAAAATTCACTCGTCTTTCCTAAACATGTTGCCCTTCAGAAGGGTTCATCTTCAATTATCCCCAAGTTTAAGAAGGCTTGTGAACTATTACATTTGGTCCCAGATGCCTGAAGAACACCATGTGAGTCAAAGCTGAGTTACATAATCGCTTTTCTTAGAGTCCATCATGGATTTCCCTCAATTTGAAATGCAGCCTTCTATGAAATGAATCAGCCTCCCCAGTGTGTCCAGCAGACCTGGATCAAGTGCCTGCCTGCCATCCCTTTTCAGCAAGCAACGTTCATAGAGGTTAGCATCCATTTGAAAAAAAGTTGCAGAGCGATCAGCAAAAAGGGGGGTGAGAAATAAAAAAAAGAAATCAAAGACTGAGCAGGACAAATATTAACACCTTATTTCAAGAGTGAATGAAGCTTCTTTGAGAAGGAGATTTCACAGGCAGCCCTATTGCTGAGAAAATCAGGCCAGGAAAATGAAATGAAAAGAAGAGGAGGAATGAAAAGAAGAAGGAAGCTTTCAAGAACATGCATCCATGCTGTCCCACCCACATGGGAACTCTTCTAAAATCTTCTGTTTCGACATTGGAATGGAGCACAGTTTGTCCTTCCTCTTGTTTATATAACTATCTCTAATGAAGGCTTGTTAATGCACATTTTTCCTGTGAATGCATTACCATAGAACTAAGGAGAAACTTCCTGACAGTGAGAACAATTAACCAGTGGAACAACCTGCCTCCAGAAGCNTATTATTATTATTATTATTATTATTATTATTATTATTATTATTATTATTATTATTATTATTATTATTATTATTTTAATATGTTTATTTTAGACAAATGGATTTTTCACTAGAGAAAAGGCTGATATTCATTGTTGCCTTTCACACTGCAGGAGACTTTCTTTGGTCAATCTCATTTCATTAATCCACTCCTGTAGAACCCTTTTGCTGATTTTTATTAAGAATTTGGATTATTATAATAAAATCTAATATAAACTAAATTTAGAGAAAGAAAATAAAATAGAAAGACTAAAAAGGGACAATGGAAAAGGAAGAAATAAAAAAGAAAGAGCATATAGTAAAGAGAAAAGAAATATATAAAAATGTGACTTCTAATTTTCATTACAAGTTTAAACCAATGTAGTAAATCGCTTCATCCCATATCCCATCTCTTATCTCTACATAAATCCATAAAACATTTTTTCAGTCCCTTCATCAGCAAAAAAAATCCAAAAGAGTAGCCAAAAGTAACAATACATCTTATTTTTAACCTTGTCAAATAAGCCAACTTTATATTTCTTCCTTTTACAGTCTTAATCTTTAGTTGTTAGACATTGTCAAAGGATTTGATTTCTCTTCATTTCTTCTTTGTCCTATTACACAGACTTCTTGAAAAAAAATAGCTTGAGGCTATTTTCCCCCTTTTAAATATCCCATATCAGGCTTTAGGGTCAGAATGAATGGAAATAGGCTTTAAAAAGTTGCCAAACACAGGATGATAAAGAACAATATCACAAATTGAAGCATGAATATGAAACATCAACATCAGTTCAAAATAAAACGATTGCCTTTGACCCAACACAAACAAATTTGAGAAAGAATGGGTCTATATTACTTACTTAGAATGGTGTATAAATGACAATGCATTCTTTTTTTTAAAAAAAGAAAAAAAATCTGATATATTGCTTACCCACTGATTTTTCAATGTATTCTGAAACCAGCTACCATTAGATCAGTAGCCTAAAACATCGCCAGCCCTACTTTCATTCCTTGATGTAATTGTAGCCAAAAGCTAGTACATTTCTATCTCACGTTGTAATTTCTCTATTGCAATTCGACCGTGAAGCATAAATGGGTGTCCCTAGATTCTAATGTTCTATATTTGTATTTGTGACTTCCTTTCACAATTTTGTCATCTGCCAAAAGGACCAGAGAGAAATTGTGCTCCACATCACTGTCTAAACTGTCCAATGTGCATATATCTTTGTTGCAGGTAACTGAACCCAAATCTAATCTAATCCGCAGTTCTAATAGTTCTCACCATGGAATAAAGTCCAAATCAAGCCATAGAAAAGTTTCATTGTTCTTTGTTTAAGTAGGCAGCTTCTCTAAGTTGTTTCCAGAATCTTCTTTCACTTTCATCTCAAATCAGAGACTTGGAGTTTTTTTGTTTCTCAGACTGTATGTGGTATTCTGTTGAAATAACTAAGTTTCACCAGAGGAAGAGGTCAGATCTTGCTTAATTTTTTAAAAAGAAAACACATGATTATTAATCCTCAAATTGGCATATTTGTAAAGTAGAAACTGTAAATTCCTCCTCAGAATAGAAAATACTTTACAATTATTGATCAATGCAGTGGTCTTAGATCCTTCATATTACAAATATAGACATGGATAACACTGGGTTTGGGCATGTTTAACATTTCATTGCTGTAGTAGGTTTAATGTGTAATTTCCTGAGCTATAAAGATTGCAAGCACTAGTACTAATTGCTTCCAAAATGGAAATAGTAAATCACATCACCTCTCTACCAATGTGGTTCATGTGTCTTAAAGTGAATAAATGTGACAGAGTGTAATAAGGAGGTAGAGTCCCAGGTGGGGTGAAGTGCATTACAGAGGAGTAAATGACAACTCAGTTCAGACAGATGTCTATGGAGATTCTCAGTCATCCAGGTCATGGTTGTCCCAAAGGTGTTTTTTCAAGAGGCAGTTGGACTTTTTTGTTTTTCTTTGAAGACATTTTGCTTCTCATCCAAGAAGCTTCTTCAGCTCTGACTGGATGGTGGGGAATGGAAGGATTTATAAATTGCAAGGAATATAAATCCTTCCATTCCCCACCATCCAGTCAGAGCTGAAGAAACTTCTTGGATGAGAAGCAAAACGTCCTCAAAGAAAAACAAGAAAAAGCACCTTTGGGACTTCCAGCTGCAGTTGTTCCAGTAAGCTGTTAAGCAGATGGTGTTTCAATTAAGGAGCTTGGGGTGCCTCAGGGGGATGGGAGAGGCCCTGGCAGGCGTGCTGCGGGTTGCGCAAAGGTTGGAGAAATGCTGCACTGTGGTGCAAAGCCTCAGCTAACCCATCCCAATCCTGCACTGTGGCCCTTGTCAGTGGAAACCCCGGGGCTGGGCCTGAAGTAAAGGTCCAGATTCTTCAGCAGTCTCAACCAGCTGCTATTGCAGTCAGGCCTTGACTTCAGCTCCAATGCTGTGGCTGCCTCTGACAAATGCTGTCAACTTCTCAAACTCTTCTATTGCCCCACGCCACCTCAATCACAGCAACATTCATGCCCTGGGGCTGGGACTGAAGTAAAGGTCCAGATTCTTCAGCAGTCTCAACCAGCTACTATTGCCCTTGGACCTCAGCTTCAGTCCTGTGGGTCCAAGAAAGCCAAATCAAGTTCCTCCCTAGAGAGAAACTATCTTCCTGGAATATTGCCTCCTTGTTCTTTCAACACCCACCCCCCAATACTTGTAGTCCTGCCCTACCACCTCAAAATAACCTACTTGCCTCAGTGACTTCATTAGGCACATTTATATTTATATATGAGCTGTTGTCTTTATCTAATCAAATGCTTTGCTGCTGATCCATCACATGTACTCTAATTTGCGTAAATGTATAGAGAAGGACTGGGACTTCTCCCTCTTTAAGCCTATCTTTGCCTCCAGCACTGTCAATAAACCAACCAATTGTACTTCAGTGCAATGATTCCTGGTCAATTCAAATGTATCCCTGAGAAAATTCTCCTACATCCCAACCTCCTGAACAAATCCTTTGCTTTCTTTCAGTGCAAACATTATCTTCAGAAGAGGTTAGTCAGATTTGCTTTTTGTCACCACGGGCATATCTAGCTTCATCAAGAAGGTGGACTTAGTATACTTGCATTTTTATAGGTGCTTGATATCATATCCTTGCTCCCCTGATCATGTTGTTTGCCATCCCTTCCCTGTAGAAGAGCAGGCAGAGCTGGTGTGGTCAGAGTTAAATGCGTCATCAGTTTAGAGTCCTTGTGTTGCCACAAGAGATCAAAGTCCAGCCCCCGCGCCCCGAATTTTGTTGACTCTTATCTAATGACAATTTATTACTGTTAGTTGACTAGATTCTTGTGTATAGATTTGAATAAAATCTTCTATGCTGCAACTTTACAAATGATCTGGATTCTTTGCTCTTGACGTTCTCTCTCCCAAACAAGCTATTCTGTGAGTTATTGCTGTGTGAATGTTGGATGTGATATTGTATCTCAGGGCTTGGGAACTCTTCCTGTACCTTTAAAGCAGCTACAAATGCCTCCTCCCACCCTATAGCTATTGCTACGTCCTACTCAACATTAACTAAAGAGTGTATATACACAAACCACCAGAGACCAGGTCTTGTGACCTTTCCTCACCCTCTATTTGGTAAAGAGGCTTCTTTAGAAGAGGGTGGGAAGGGCCAACCCTCTTGCAAGTTGTTGAAATGCCTGCCCATGATGGAAATAGAAAGCACAGAACTATTTGGGTCAGTGCTCCTAAGAGCATTGCTTCGGGGAGATGCAATTGGACTGTCATGTAGAAGTCTGGAAAGAGATCAAGGACATTTTCTTCCATGCAAATGCACACTCATGGATGCATTTTTGTGACAGTGGTGGAGAGCAGCTCTTCAGTGTAAAGAGATGGGTGAGATGACAGGTGGGTGAGGAGCAGAGCAGGGAGAGCATAAACATGTACAGTATTAGGTTTGGTCTTAAAAAAAAAAAAGACAGGTCTTCATATACAAATATGGGCATCTCTTCATGAGGGCCTCCAGCCTCATCTGATCACCTGATCTGGTTTCTGCATGTCTCTGCTGTACTTGATTTGAAATAGGAGCAAGCTGGTGGTTCCTTTCCCCTTCTCACATTCTCTCATACCTTTCCCTATTACTTATTCATAGCACAATTCACCCGATTGGCCGAAAACTACACTAGCATCAAAATTTGCTGTCCCCATTGCTAATCATTATTTGCCTCTACTACCTCTGTTTTAAGTCGCTGTGGTCACCTGACTTCCCTCCCTTAGATGTCCAAATTCAAATGGTACAGACTCTTTAGCTCCTACTGGTCACAAGGGGGCAGCAGGGTGTAGATCGAGATGTCTATGGAGATTCTCAGTCATCCAGGTCATGGTTGTCCCAAAAGTGCTTTTTCAAAAGGCAACTGGACTTTCTTTGTTTTTTTTTTCCTTGAAGGTGTTTAATTTCTCATCCAAGAAGCTTCTCCAGAACTGAAAAAGCTTCTTGGATGAGAAGTGAAATGTCTTCAAGGAAAACCAAGAAATCCCAGTTGCCTTTTGAAAAAGTACCTTTGGGTGTAGATCAAGAGTTAAGGATTTCACTACAGGAGTAGGCAACCTTGGCTCTTTTATGACTCGTGGACTTCAACTCCCAGAATTCCTGAGCCAGGAATTCTGGGAGTTGAAGTCCACGAGTCATAAAAGAGCCAAGGTTGCCTACCCCTGCACTAGAAGGAGAGGATCGGTAGCTCAGGATTGAATTGTGGAGTCCTCGAAGCTCTCTGAGCTTACGTATCTACTTGCAGACATTTCATGATAGGTAACATCATCAGTGCTATTTATTTTGTGTCCCCTGTTTCCCTAAGAGATTCTAATCTATGTAATTTCCCCCTGTTTTTCTTCCCAGACCCACAGTTTTTGACTCGCCTCCTGGTAGGAGGTATCTAACCAGGTGATGGGCTTTGTGTCATGTATTGCCTGTACAGATGGTCCTCCCTTAACAACAGTAGTTGGGGCCAGAATTTCTATTGCTAAGTGAGATGGACATAAAGTGCAATATTATAAGACTCAATGACAGTAGTTCCAGCCCTTTTAATTGCTATCGATAAGCAAATCCTATATACCAACTACCCCCCGAGATCCGGACGATTCCAGACCTCCTACCTTTTCGCCGCGCCCTCAAGACATGGCTTTTTCAACAAGCGGGTCTGGCCTAGGGAGAATTTTTAAATAGGGACAATTTTAATTTAAATCTTAATTAATTATACAGCGAAAAAAAAAATATTTGGTTTTTAATAGGTTTTTATGGGGGGGGGCGATGTTTTATGTGTTTTAATATGCTGTAAGCCGCCCTGAGTCCTATAGGGAGAAGGGCGGCATATAAATCCATGTATAAATAAATAAAATAAATAAATGTGACCTGTTCACTGTTTGTGACTTCCTGCCAGCTTTGACTTTTCTTGTTAGAAGCTAGAAGCGAAGTCCACAAATGGCAGCCATGTGACTGCAGGGACACGGCGACCGTTGTAACTTAAGAGGACTGATTGCAAGTGGCACTCATTCTGCGCCATTGTAAGTTTGCCTGGTGGCTGAACAAGTGGTCTTTAAGTGAAGGCCAGCTGTAAATGCAGGTAGTCCTCGACTTACGACCACAATGGAGCCCAACATTTATAAGTGAGAAACCCATTAAGTGAGTTTTGCCCCATTTTGCGACCTTTCTTGCCACATTTGTTAAGTGAATCCCTGCAGTTGTTAAGTTAGTAACAAGGTTGCTAAATGAATCTGGCTTCCCCACTGACTTTCCTTGTCAGAAGGTCACAGAAAGGTGATCATGTGACACACCCCCCCGGGGACACCACAACCGTCATAAATGTGAACCAGTTGTCAAGCATCCGAATGTAAATCATGTGACCATGGGGATGCTGCAACGGTCGTAAGTGTGAAAAACGGATCGCAAGTCACTTTTTTCAGGGCTGCTGTAACTTTGAACAGTCACTAAACAAACTGTTGTAAATCAAGGACTACCTGTACTACTTCTTTCTGTTACAGTTGTAAATCCTGCTTCACTAATTATTGCTCATATTAGATATCCATTCTCTGGAACACTAACAGGCACACACAGAATGCTTCAACTATTAAACATTCAAGAGACAAAGCTTGAATATTTGAAATCTTTTGGAGTGTGGGAATAACAGAGACCATGCTATAGTGGTAGTGATACAGCCAGTGGTGGGATTCAGCTGGTTCGCACCACTTCAGCAGAACAGTAGCTAATTTTTTTGTTGCCCAAGCCCAGAATGGACTTCCGGAAGCGGCATCTACATAGAGAACCGG